GATTGGTAACAATAGTCATGAACTGATTAGTGACAATAGAACCAAAAACACAGACACAACTTGTGACTGATAACATCTCACACTGTGAAGCATGCAGACAGATGTGAGCTTAAACAGAGTTCCATGAAAACAACAATATTCATTCTGTTAGAGCACTAAGGACAGAATGTGTCATGGAACGAGCCGTCACATCACGTAGGTAAAATCGAATAAATGAGCAGGGTGTTGACCATGCAGCCGCAGTGCAAATGTCCTGCATTGACATACCATTATGCAGGGCAGTTGAAGATGCGATACCCCTGGTCGAGTGTGCTTTGAGGTTGACAGGAGGCTCTAGATCTGATGCTCTGTAGGCTTCAGAAATGGCCTCACACAGCCAGTGTGACAAGCGCTGGGTGGATAACGGGCAACCTGCAGATGCATCTCTATAATGCACAAACAAGTGTTGAGTTTGACGCATTACAGCTGTGCGCGCTATGTAACACGTCAACGCCCGCACCGGACAGAGAAGATGGAAAGATGCTTCTTCTTCTGATCTGTGGGGGGGAGGGAAAAAATCCCTCCGATGATTTCGCTCTTGATTTAAAAGAGCTCGTGATGTTTTTAGGCATAAAAGCTGGGTTTGGTCTTAAATCAGCTGAACTACCATCAGCCTGGATTCTGAGACATGACGGAGCGGCAGAGAGGGCAGATAAATCACTCACCCTCTTAGCGGATGTTAAAGCCAGCAGCAGGGCTGTTTTAAGAGACAAGAATTTAAGTGAAACCTGATCCAAAGGCTCAAATGGGGCTTTGATCAGGGCTCGCAGGACCAGCGTTAAATCCCACTGTGGAACAAGTGGGCGTGAAACAGGACTACGTCTTTGTACACCTTTTAGAAACCGCTTCATCAGCGGGTGATTAAAAGCTGTTCTGTCTCCGAACCCTTCGTGGCAGGAAGAGATGGCTGCAGCGTACGTTTTATTCGTGCTGAATGCCAACTTCCTATCCATCAGCTGTTGTAGAAAAGACAGCACGCCGCCTAATGGGCATGAGGTGGCCTCTAAACCTTTCTCTGTACACCAGCGCTGAAAAGCCGTCCACTTTGATGTGTACAGAACTGTGGTAGATGCAGCACGTGAATCCTGGATTGTGCGCACTACCTCCTGAGGGAGACCCATCCTCTCTAAGCGGGACCGCTCAGTGGCCAGACCCACAGGTGCTGACCTATTTCTGGGTAACTCCTGATCGCTCCTCCTGCTTGAAGGAGAGCATCCTCCCTCCACGGCAGTTTCCACGGACGACCCGACAACAGACGTTGCAGGACTGGGAACCATGGTGCGTTCACACGCTCGGGAGCCACCAGGAGAGCTGTCAATCCCTCCTCCTGAACTCGGTTCAGGAACCGTAAAATCAGAGGAGGTGGGGGAAACGCGTACAGAAGCGTTTTGGGCCATGGGCTGTGAGCAAATGCATCCACCCCCAGCGGTGGATCGTCTCGCGGGCTCAGGGAAAACCATAGTTGACACTGAGCATTCTCTCGTGTCGCAAAAAGGTCCACAGCTGCTTTGCCAAACTTCTGCCACGTCTGAACCATCAGGTCTGGATGGAGGGTCCAGTCCGCGTGACGTGGACCGCCCCTGGACATCACATCTGCCCCTTTGTTCAGAACACCGGGTATGTAAACCGCTCTGATGGAGAGCAGGTTTTGGTGAGCCCAACACAGTAGCTTTCGCGCAATGTGTAACATCTGGGCTGAACGCACACCCCCCTGGCGGTTTATGTACGCAGCAGTCACCATGTTGTCTGTGTGAATCAACACGTGTTGATTCTGTAGCACGGGAGCAAAGTGTTGAATCACATTCAGCACTGTGCAACACTCCAAAACATTGATGTGGGCTGATGTGCGGTGGGGCCACAGCTCCCCTACTGCTTGAGATAGGCATGTCCCCCCCCAACCTGACAGCGACGCGTCCGTGAAGACTGACACGTGTGACGTGGGTCTGCTGACGGGAACTCCCTCTGACAGAACCAGGTTGTTTCCCCAGTGTCGGAGGTCTGTTCTCACAGAGGAAGGGACAGTGATCATCCGTCTTTTTTGTTTTACTGGATCCACACGCAGACGCGCAAACCACCTCTGGAGACGTCTCATGTGTAACAAACCCAGCAGAACCACTGTGTGAGCTGATGACATCATTCCCAACAGCTTCATGACGGAGACAGGTGTTATCACTTTGCCAGGTCTTACGTGGCGGAGTTGACTTTTTAAAGTGTCGATTCTCGTTTGTGATAAGCGAGCCTTCATGGTAATTGAATTTAATTCCACTCCCAGATAAACAATTGTCTGGGCCGGGAAAATCGAGCTTTTCTTCCAATTTATGGCGAAGCCCAGATTTAACAGGTGTGATGCCAGCACCTGAGCCTGCATCAGCGCCTCCTGTCTGGAGTGTGACAGGAGCAGCAGGTCGTCCAGGTAAAACAAAATTCTCATCCCTGCTCTGTGCAGTGGATGCAGGGCTGTCTCCACACACTTCAAGAACGTACGAGGCGCGAGGGAATACCCGAAAGGCAGCCTGTTGTACTGATACTTCATCACCTGAAAAGCGAAACGCAGAAATTTCCTGTGTTTTGGGATGATCGGTATGTGAAAATAAGCATCTTTTAGATCGATGGAAACAAACCAGTCGTTTCTCTGGATGTTGTCCAACGCTGTCTGGTTGTCAGCATGTGAAACGGTCTGTTCGTGATCGCTTTGTTGAAAGCTGACAGATCCAGAATCGGTCTCATCCCTCCGGTCCGTTTGGGGACCAGGAAGTAGCGTGAGTAAAAACCTGTGTTTTCCTCTCCGTTGGGAACTCTGGAGATTACGCCTTTTATCAGAAGCTCCTGAACTTCTGCATTTAAGGCTGAGATTTGGTCTGGTGATGACAGGACCGTCTCCATAACTCCTCCGAACGGAGGGGGTCGGGTTGCAAATTGCAGCGTGTAACCCTTGCATAACACTCTGTCCATCCATCTGTCCGGCGAGCATGTTTTTAGCCACTCTGCGTAACGTTCGTGGAGTGGACGTGCGTTTAAGTGATGCGCCGTGTTTTGAACGGATGTCATCCAATCCTCCGCCTCGACCGCCGTCATGCGTCGCGGAAATGTTTTCCGCGTGACCCAAGGCAAGGCTTCCTCGAAAGGGCTGTTCTGCACGCGCCCGTGCGCTGCGTCTGGATCGCGGACCAACCTTCATGTCTGGGTGGGCCGGTGTGTGCTGAGGTGAAGCGTGTGCCAGCTGATGACGCCGTGGGGCTGCATGTTTAACGTCGCTGTGCGAACGTTGAGAGGCGGAGGGCGTGACTTCATCAACGCCGTGTTGTCGGAGTGAAGGTTGCGAGCCTCGCAGGAACACACGTTTTCTCTGGAGGGACGCGCGCCGCTCTCGCTGGGGGCGGGGCTCGTCACCGGGTTCGTTCAGCTGTCTCACGCTTATGCCGCCGTGAGCTGCCGATCGCTGAGACACGGTGGATGACGGCCGCTCGCGTTTGCTCAGGTGAGGCGTGTGTTGTTTTCGCTGAGAGCGGGGGCCTCCACCGGACCCGGCCTGCGGTCCCACATATATACCGATGTGAGCCGGTGAGCGCCGGGCAGCTGTGCGTGCATCATCAACACAGCGCTGTTTGGATGGAGGCTGCTTGCCTCGCTCGGGTGCGCGTTTAACACCGCTTGGGTGATGATCGTGCGGGTCTGATTGATAACGAGTTATTTCGCTTACCGTAGTGTCGAGTGAGCGTCTCGTCATGTGTTGGAGCGGCGGTAGGTTTAAAAAACCTTTATTTAAGGACACCGGCTCTTTATGTGTGGAGGATGTGTGTGCAGCGGCTGTGAGCTCATCCGAGCTTACAGACTGGCTACAAACAGACACCTTGATCATTGAAAAATCATTTATTTCAACTTCTGTGTCATTTATACACACATCCTCCGCAGACCGTCATTTTTTAAATCTTCTCCCCCGTGAGCTCTGCGATTTGTTTGCCCCGGGCGCCGTCTGCAGGCGATCTCTGGGGAAACGCTGAAGTGCAGGTTGCCGGAATGAGGAGGGGTGGTCTCTGACGGGCGGGGCTGGTGGTGGAGCTGAGCGAGACGAAGCTGCTGCGGCCGTGGAGCGCCGATGTTTCTGCCTCTGCTTGCGACGATCTCTCCAGCGGGCTGGGGGACGGGATGAGCCGCGCGGCTTGATGAGATGGCGACAGCTTCCGACATCTCCTCCGACTACTTCGAATTCGCCAGCATGGTTTTTAAGCTGCTCCCGAACAGCGCGTCCGACGTGATGGGGCCCTCCATCAGGTCCTTGTGCAGCTTTTCCGGCAGCGAGGGAGAGTGACGAAGCCAGGTGGATCGTTGGATTACCATCATCCACGCTGCAATCCACGATAGGCAAACCGTGGAAGCGGCGCACATGTTGAGGATGGCATCTGCCGTCTTACAGAGGGAGCTCTTTGTCTCCCCGGGCAGGTTCTCGGCCTCCAACCTCTTTGACATGCTAAATGCTAGCAGCGCCACGTTGTTGCTAGCTGCGGCCGCCTGAAAAGCACACTGGTGGGCTCGATTGGAGAGCGCGGTCACCGCCTGGTCGTGTTTCCCTGGAGGGACGGGACGCTGCTCCAACCTGGACAGCTTCGCTCCGAAGGCTTCCGCGAGGCTTGGCTCAAGGGGGGGTACCGAGGGATAGTGGTGAACCCCTCCACTCTGGTGATGGGAGCGTAAGTGGAGATGGGCGCCCTTAACCTACCAGGACCGGCTGCGGCCTCGTTCCAGTACGATGTCACCGCTGGAAAACGAGGCCAGATGGGATCAAGACGGCGAGCCGGCGTGGAGCCAAACCTTCCCGCAAGATCATCCGATCTGAGTGTGGGGGGGGGGGGGGGGG